ATTACAGATTCTGTATTTACACAGCAACTTCTGGCTGTCGTTTTGACAGCTAAGAATTGCTGGTAAATGCAGGGAGGAGAGTGGCAGCTGGACAGGGTATACAACACACGCCCTGTATACATACATTTGTACCTCCACTGTCATAGATTTCATCTTTTCATACTGTCTTCACCTGTGACCAGTGTCTTTGTTGGTAGGGATGCACCAATATCGTTTTTTCAGTATCGAGTACCAATATTTCTTTTTCATTACTGCTACCTGTGCTAGCATACAGCTGGCTTCCCGGCCAATCAGGAAGCCGGGCAGCATGTCATTACCCGCCACCCGGCTTCTTGATTGCTCGGGAAGCTGGCTCCATGCTGTTTGGCCGACTCTATGCTTTTTCGCTGGGAAGCCGGCTTCCCGACCAGTCAGCATCGAGCCTGCCAAACAGCATGGAGCCAGCTTCCCGAGCAATCAAGAAGCCGGGCGGCGAGTCATTACACATCTGCCTGATTGGCTGGGAAGCCAGCTACATGTTCCCTCGTGGCACTGCCGGTCAGAGGGAATCTCCTTCTGACCGGAAGTTCCAGTATCGGGGGTAGGCATCAGGAGCATTTGGGTATCGGTGCCAATACTACTAGTATCGGTGCTTCCCTATTTATTGGTATCTTATACAAAGGAAACGTGATGTTAGGTTATTTTATGCCAGCTGAATGACATTGTTTGCTGAACACATTCCAGAGGTTAATGGTTGCTGTTTGTGTTTCTCCGTAGAGTCCCACCAGGTCCTGGCCCAGCTCCTGGACACTTTGCTGGAAATTGGAATGAAGTTACAGGACAATGTCGCTCTCCAGGCGAGATTGGTAGATCTCGCCTACAAGGTAATAAGGAGAACCGACGTGATCTGTACACTGGAAAGTCAGTGCAGGAGTTACAAATCTTCTTGAGCCTTTTTTTTCTAAGGCACATTGTGAGAAGCTCCCAGTGTGCAGTGAAATCAGAGGAAGCCATTTCAGTCCAGTAGAGGAGCCGGTACAACTGTGCAAGACTGAAGGGAGGGCCGGAGGTTAGATAGAAGACTGAAGGGATGGACGGAGGTCAGATATAAAACTGGAGGGAAGACCAGAGGTCAGATAGAAGACTGAAGGGAAGGACGGAGGTCAGAGAGAAGACTGAAGGGAGGGCCGGAGGTTAGATAGAAGACTGAAGGGATGGACGGAGGTCAGATATAAAACTGGAGGGAAGGCCAGAGGTCAGATAGAAGACTGAAGGGAAGGACGGAGGTCAGATAGAAGACTGAAGGGAAGGACGGAGGTCAGATAGAAGACTGAAGGGAAGGCCGGAGGTCAGATAGAAGACTGAAGGGAAGGCCGGAGGTCAGATAGAAGACTGAAGGGAAGGACGGAGGTCGGATAGAAGACTGAAGGAAGGACGGAGGTCAGATAGAAGACTGAAGGGATGGACGGAGGTCAGATAGAAGACTGAAGGGAGGGCCGGAGGTCAGATAGAAGACTGAAGGGATGGACGGAGGTCAGATATAAAACTGGAGGGAAGACCAGAGGTCAGATAGAAGACTGAAGGGAAGGACGGAGGTCAGATAGAAGACTGAAGGGAAGGACGGAGGTCAGATAGAAGACTGAAGGGAGGGCCGGAGGTCAGATAGAAGACCGAAGGGAGGGCCGGAGGTCAGATAGAAGACTGAAGGGAAGGACGGAGGTCAGATAGAAGACTGAAGGGAAGGACGGAGGTCAGATAGAAGACTGAAGGGAGGGCCGGAGGTCAGATAGAAGACTGAAGGGAAGGCCGGAGGTCAGATAGAAGACTGAAGGGAGGGCCGGAGATAAGCTTTAAATATTGCTAATTACAAATTATAACCTTGTGGTATTATGTGCTTGATGACTGATTTATAGATTGTGTTATGTTTCATGCCCCTCCTTTATGCTTTTACTGTCCAGTAACCTGTAAATTGTCCCCCATACAGAACCTTTCCGACACATCCCATGGAGTGAGGATCAGGTGTCTGCAGCTTCTGGGCTGTCTCGGGTCTGTGGATAAAAGCCCCCTAAAAGAGGCAGAAATCGCACAAACCAAAGACGTGCAGAAGATAATAGGCGATTATTTCAATGATCAGGACCCCCGTGTCCGGACTGCCGCTATAAAAGCCATGGTGAGTGTTTTCTTGCTTGTGTGAGTTTGTTTTACGGGAAGGGAGGGGTTAAGGCAGGAAAAAAAAAAAATCTTATAGCAACCAATCGAAAATCTTCCCTAGCTGAACCTTGCGATGAAACCTGATTGGTTGCATTGATGTACTTTGTGTCGTCATTGCCGTGTCTTAGGGAATTCAGTGTGATGAACTATTCTAATATTGTTGTATGCCATTTACTGATGATGTGTGTGTTGTCTTTCCTCAGTTACAGCTCCATGAGAGAGGCCTGAAGTTACACCAAGGGACATATAGCCAGGTACAGTGCCTCACATCCTAGTAACAAGAATGAGTGACGGTGCACTAGCTATAAGACTGCAGTCACACGGGGCAATCTGGCATTCCTGCGGCAGGACCCTATGCCTGTAATGCCAGGTGTCCCCATTCAGATGCCACCGATGTACCCATCCAGGTAAATGACAGGGTCACAGCAGCCGTGTCAATCATCTATCCCAAACATGTGGATTGCCGTTGACAGAGGCAGCCACTGTCACCCTGCCATTAAATTCAATGGGTACAGCAGCCACATCTGAACGGGAACACCTGGAATTCCTGCCAGAGGAATCCGTAGGTTCTTACTGCAGGAATCCCAAAACATAGCATGTGTCCCCCCATATGAATGGAGCTTGAAACTTCCTAATTGAGATGTATACATTACATAGATCCTTCACTCCTGCTTTGGAGCCAAGCCCCGAAATTCAGCAGACAGCTGTGGTAGCCTCAGCGTCCTGTAGAGGCTCTGTTACTTGCCTGTTGAATTGTGTAAGCGGGGCCTAGTTTTAGAATGGCTGTGTACTCAATTGGCTGAAGTTGAGGTCCAATCCAGAGGTTGGGCCTAGGTCTGGCATACAGGTTACTTACAGGTCACGTGACATGTTAAAGAGTAAGTGCAGATTTAAATAAACAATGCTGTGCTTAATAATAGTACCCCATTCTCCCCCGTCCCCAGATGCACAGCCTCCTGCCAAGTTTAGATCCTTCTACCGGCACAGTAGATCCCGTTTAGACTTCTATACGGCCATCTCTGCCTTCGGGACAGGGCCCCTTTGAATTCAATGGGGATCTATGTGGCCAGCCGTATAAATCTATGAGGATCTATATGGCATGTACAGAAGAAGGTTAACACTGTGGGAGGCCATAGCAGACATATACAGGTGAGTGTGTTTCTAAGAAGGAGGGTTGCAGCATTTTCTTTAGGTTGTGGGTGCCAAAAACCATAAGTACATTTTATTAAAGTGGACTGGACCCCCTCCCCTGTGCAGATCACCTGCAGTTAGTAGATGTAAAATGCGCCTGTAAAGAAAAAGCTTAAGGTTCGTACTTGACTTATCCCTATCTTCCGCCCATGGCATCTAGGTGAGGATGTCACACTCCTTTTCCCTAGATCCCGGGGGATAAAAAGCAGCCAACATCTCATGAGAAGACGCTCTTGCAATTGACTGGAGTGCCTTTTCTCAAGAGTTTGCCAGTTCTGCATTCCCCAGAAATCTGATGGTGACTCCACGGCCATTGATTTGGAAGGCAATAGGGGTAAGGTAAGCTGAAATGTAACCTTTTTTTTTCTTTACAGGTAATTTTATACCTACAGACAGGTGGTTTGTAAGGGTGGAGGGGCCCGGGCAATTGTAGCAGACCTTGAATTTTACTGCAAGGTCCGCTTTAAACCTCCATTGTTTATCTAAGTCAGGGGTGCCCACAATTTTTCGTCTGGAGATCTACTTTTCAAATGACGAGCTCAATGAGATCTACCAACGAAAAAACGCCTGCGTTCAGGGGCGGGAGGGGGCGTGGCGGTGCGTTGAAGCCAATGGCACCGCAGCCAGGCCCCTCACCCACAGTGCAATCGCCTGCACCCGGAACCCAGGCACATCCGTTCCGGTCCAGTGCGATCTGCAAAAATGCTGCAAGCACTATTTTTGCAGATCACACTGGATCGGAATGTAGGCACTAATGTGCGGGCGATCAAACTGTGGCCGGGGGACATGGCTGTGGTGCAACCCCACTCCCGCCCCTGAACGCATTCCAGTGCGTTCTAGTGGCGCGGGGGTCCTATCCTCCCACGGTGCTTGTGTGGCCGCCGTTGCACACGGGGAGAGGTGTCCCCGCCCCTTTACCGTCTGCGGCGTCTGACACATTCAGCCGCACGAGCACCTCGGGAGCATAGCAGTAGCCAGCTCCTTTTGCACACGTGGCAAGAAAGAAAAAACACACACGGAGCCGCTGTAACATCAGCGTTTGCAGTGAGGAGAGAGAGAACCGCCGGCTGTCAGATCCAAGCCGAGCGGCTCTATCCTCACTGTGATAGCGGCTCCGTCCCCCGCCGCCGACTGCAGCTTCACTTTTCCTCGGATCCCCGCTGCATACAGATGGGGGAGAGCAGCGGGGATCCAGAGAAGACGGGACATCGCGATCTACCAGTGATCGCGATCGACCTTATGGGCACCCCTGATCTAAGTGGTCTTCACACAATGAAATAAAAATAACCCGAACTGGCAATCGGCTGGATTCCAACACACACTGTAAAATGACATCTGAAAGCTTGAATCTGAGGAATGTCTGTGAAGGGGTAAAGACAGTTTTTGCTGTAGACCTTTTGATAATTAAGTCTGACGCCTTGGGTTTGGATGGGTGATGGTTTCAGAATGGAGAATAGGTGTCCAATGGGTGATGGTTTCCTGAATGCCATGGTTTCAGAATGGAGAATGTTAATTTATAATGTGAAGTTTAATGTCCTCGTGTGTCCTTTTACAGGCTTGTAAACTGCTCACTGATGACTATGAACAAGTGCGTAGTGCTGCTGTGGAACTAATTTGGGTTTTAAGTCAACTCTATCCAGAAAGGTAATTAATTTTTTTTTTAAATGTTAATAAAGAAAATCTAAATCTGCCCTGAAAGGAAGTCAAATAAAATCGTGCAAGCGCTATAAGACACCAGAACACCTTTTTCTTCTCTACAGCTGCCTTTAGGTGAGCTTTTTTAGCAGCTAATGGGGAGGAGGTGACTGACTGATACAATGAGATGCATGCAAATAAAAAATGAATGGGGACTCCTGGCTATTGTCGTATCACAGGGAAAGGCGACATATGCGGCTGTAGCTTCTTTTCTGTGCCATAGTTGGGCACACAAAATATATACAGATCATCCCAGATTGCAAATGGTGGACCTGGATTTTCCCCAGACTAGATTCCCTTGACAGGAGGGATCAGAAGTAGGTCGATTTTGCCTTTCTTGCACTTCCTTTCTTGTTATCCCGATCTGCTGTATGGGGAATGTGTAACACTCCGCCTGTCATAATGCAGCACTTGGTGGCTGTGCAGCCAATCGCCAGACTGGAGTGCTGTCTCCTGGGGGTAGGGGAGTGTGGCCAGTGTGTTTTGACAAGTTGGAATTCCCCAAACTGTGTACACACTGGCAGATTAAGATTCTCAGTACGGCTCAGTACGGAGTGCACATTAGCAGTCTGGTATACCACAAAGACAGAAACAGCTATAGTGCCTTTGCGTGAGTGCGAGTTTTTCCAACCCAAGGCGAGTAATATGGGTTCGTATTGGATAATGATTTCACACCCTGGAAAACCATTACAGGCTTATGGGTGCTAAAGCTTACTGTGGAGTTATCCCTGCAGACCATCAATAATATATAGAGGTGCACCATCAATGAACAGGAATCCTTTATGAGTGTTCCTGATCATTGATAACATGGTATGTTTACTATAACTACAATTATGAATGAATGAGGGTGATGTAGAGGTGATGTAGATCACTCCCCATTCATTCATAATTGAGGATACCATGTCCTCAATTATGTACTCACACTCAGCGATCACTGATCACTGAGTGTGTGTACCTTGCTTTTCTCTCTGACACGCTGTCACAGGAGGCTGATCGAGCGTCATAGAGAGGAGAGCCCAGCCTCCTGTGACAACGCTGTCTCCGCCCCCACACCGCTCTGCCGGACTGTGATAGGCGACAGAGCGGTGTGGGAGGAGACGCCGGCCGCTCACAGCGCTCTCCACCGCAGCGCTCGGCCGGCTGTCACTTTCTTTTCTCCCCGCCCAGTGGGGAGAAAAGAAACCAGGGATGCGCCGATAAACGCCCTGTTATCCGGCACCCACAGGGATTGGTAGATTCCGTATAAATGTAGTTTCTGGTTGCTTGAGAGTTACTATTAAAAATAGGTCTATACCCCATACTATACCATAACATAAAACTCTGTATTGACTTCATATTAATATTGAAATGCAGTCATCAAAAGCAGATAAGGACAAATAGACACACGATCATTTCTAGGGTAATACATGCCGCAGAACAGTGAGTACACAGGGGATTTATTTTTTGGTTAGATGAGAGTTCTGGTTAGTTGAATACCGGATAACTGAGAGTTTACTGTACTGATCTATATGTAGAGTAAGCACACCACAAAATTACTTCTGTATTTAGCATAGCTATGCACTATGCATCTTTGCCTACTTTGAGGATATATATGCCATTTGTATCCTTTTGCAGATGTAGTCACTTATTGTGACGCTCTGTTGTATGACTATATGGAAAATGGTTGGCTCTCTTATACACAGTCTGTACTATGCATGCTCATTACTATATTTCATTTTGCTAAATACAGAAGTAATTTGCACAGTTGTTGTGTGGTGTGCTTACTCATTTACTGCTGTGATGAAAGCGGGAAGCATATGTTTTATACTTTCATGTAGAGGTCAGATGGGTGCTAGATTCTTGTTCAGATTTCTGTATCGCCCTCTCTCCACATCAGCCATAAATCTCTGCCTCTGCATCTACACTATATTACCAAAAGTATTGGGACGCTGGCCTTTACACGCACATGAACTCTAATGGCATCCCAGTCTTAGTCCGTAGGGTTCAGTATTGGGTTGGCTCCGCCCTTTGCCGCTATAACAGCTTCAACTCTTCTGGGAAGGCATCCACAAGGTTTAGGGGTGCGTCTATGGGAATGTTGGACCATTTGTGAGGTCAGGTACTGATGTTGGACAAGAAGGCCGGGCTCGCAGTCTCCGCTCTAATTCATCCCAAAGGTGTTCTATCGGGTTGAGGTCAGGACTCTGTGCAGGCCAGTCAAGTTCCTCCACCCCAAACTCCCCCATCCATGTCTTTATGGACCTTGCTTTGTGCACTGGTGCGCAGTCATGTTGGAACAGGAAGGGGCCATCCCCAAACTGTTTCCACAAAGTTGGGAGCATGAAATTGTCCAAAATGTCTTGGTATGCTGATGCCTTAAGAGTTCCCTTCACTGGAACTAAGGGGCCAAGCCCAACCCCTGATACAACCCTCCAGCATAATCCCCCCTCCACCAAACTTTACACTTGGCACAATGCAGTCAGGCAAGTACCGTTCTCCTGGCAACCGCCAAACCCAGACACATCCATCGGATTACCAGAAAGAGAAGCGTGATTGGTCAGAACACGTCTCCACTTCTCTAGAGTCCAGTGGCGGTGTGCGTTACACCACGGCATCCCATGCTTTGCATTGCACTTGGTGATGTAAGGCTTGGATGCAGCTGCTCGGCCATGGAAACCCATTCCATGAAGCTCTCTATGCACTGTTGTTGTGCCAATCTGAAGGCCGCATGGAGTTTGGAGGTTTGTAGCTATTGGCTCTGCAGACAGTTGGTGACTTCTACGCACTGTGCGCTACAGCATGCGCTGACCCCGCTCTGTCATTTTACGTGGCCTACCACTTGGTGGCTGAGTTGCTGTTGTTCCCAGTTGCTTCCACTCTGTTATAATACCACTAACGGGACCGTGGAGTGTTTAGTAGCAAGAAAATATCACGGAACACCGGAATCCAATGATTTGGAGGGGTTCCCAATACTTTTGGTAATCTAGTGCAGGGCTCAAAATTTCCACTCGCCTGCTCGCATTTTGCGAGTAAAAATAAGGTGAGGGCGAGTGGAAATTTGGGTCTCCAAGTACCGGCTCGCGGGCCAACTCTGGCCCGCGAACCGGTACTATGTGGCCCACAGCCAGCTGACATGTTATGCTCACGGTCGCAGACCGCGTACCTGACTTGTGGGAGAAGCTCCACGGTCTGCATCTGTACAGACCGCAGAGCAGCTCCTGTCAGCTCTGGCTTCCTTTGGCCGGAGCTCTGACAGTTCTGAGCTCTGGCCGAAAGAAAGAATGCATGTGAGGAGGATCGATGCCTGGTTATCTGGGGGTGATAGTGAGGTCTGCTGCAGACCTCTCTAATCACTCACAGATAAACCGGGCAGGGTAAGGGTTAGGTGGGCCAACTGGTGGCTAGTGACTCTTAAGGCCTGGCTAGTAGCTCAGGACTTGAAATTTTTGAGCCCTGATCTAGTGTATCTCTTGCTCTGTCACATGTTCTGGTGAAATGCCTTGTCACCATTGTGTGTAACTCTCCCTCTTCCTTTTCCAGCATTGTTCCTATCCCGTCCTCCCATGAGGAGATCCGGCTGGTGGATGATGCTTTTGGCAAGGTCTCTCACATGGTCAGCGATGGATCGTGGGTGGTCCGGGTTCAAGCCTGCAAAATTTTGGTGGGTATCTGTTCTGCTTCTCCGTACCGTCTACTGTAGATGTATGACATCATAGATTGCAAACGGCTCTGAACAGCCAGATCCTCACATTCTGTCACTGGACAATTTGGATCACAGGGTTATATTGGAACCTTTAAAATGTTCTCAGAGGCTTGAAATGGTTCTAGTTATAATCCTGCGTATATTTTGCCTTCTCTGGCTCCTCAACATGCTAATGAGATGTTTAAATCATTTCCATTTTTATTGCATACATCATCACGGGGGCTTCTCTATGCAGTGCAGGCAGATCATAGCTGGTGTGAGGGACCTGCAGGGTGCTGTACATAGCTTCAGTGCTGCTTCTTGGAGCTCATTTGCTATTGACCTAGGCACGCTCCCAAGAGCCCTTTTCTTCCACGCAGTATGTGGGCAGGCTTTTGGAAGTCAAGTCAGCGGCATTGTTTGGTTAGGAAATAATTTAACGTAAGCTTGTGGAAAGGGGGGGGGGGTGTAGAGTTCTGTAGTCCAGTAGCAGTAGGTTGGGCTGACAATGCTGATTGGGATTTTAGTGCAGCAAAGTAGCTGTTGTCAGTCCAAGTGGCCGTTCCGACTCTCATGGTCCACTGTTGTCACCAGGAAATGACATGCACTAGTTGCTGGACCGCATGTAGACATAAAGTGTCACCAGCTGTGACAGAAGGTCAGAGGAGCAAGTGACATCCCTCCCTCAGTCATGTGTACGATTGGCTGCTAGACCCCAGCACTGTTGTGGAGGGGGTGTGGGGGTTACCTTATGTTTCCCCATACTTCCTCCATACACAGACTCACTGGGTGTTGTCACCGGCTGCAACGTAGGCAGAAGTAGCTAGGGAGCACTGGTAAAGTGAGCATAACTGGATCGGGGAGGGTGGGGGGCCTTTACAAGGATGGGCAAGGTGACGATGGCTTTAAAAGAGAAATGGAAATCATAATCCTGTTCTGCTATTTGGTACTGCTGTGCTCACTAAAAACTGTCTATGTTATTTTAATAACACGCACTGACTTCCTCTTCTTGTGTACTGCAGGGATCCATGCTGCAAGTCAGCCCCCATTTCCTGGAGCAGACCTTGGACAAGAAGCTTATGTCTGACCTGCGGGTATAGTATCTTGTATACTGAATTGGGAGTATGTGGGCATCATTTGAAAGCGATCTGATATGTTACATGGCTTTATTTAACACCTGATTGAACTCTAAATCAGATAAATACATACCAGGGCAATGCAAATGAATGGTGCTCGTTCTCCTACAGTCCATTTTATTATTAACAGAGTTATTTCATGAGTAGAGAAGCAAATGTCGTGCTCTTGTTTTCCTGGCTCTCACCGGCCTCCCACAACCTGCTTTTGTATGGACAAGGTATATTCTCTTCTAACTCGCATCTGCCTAGTCAGTTCTCCAAACCGTGACAAAATGTGATGTGATTGTCTTTACAACTCTTCATTACTCTACTCTGATTGCACACGTCTGCATGCTAAAATGTTCTATTTTAGTGTGCAGGCTGATGTGTATTCTGTGCTGGTGGTCTAGATCCTTGGTGCTCAACTGGTAGGTCGTGAACCCGTATTCAGTGGGTCGCCGCGTGCCTTCCACTTTTTTAGATGAGAGGCTCCTCTGCCTCCCCCTAGTGCAGCACCAGCAGTTCTCCCGCCAAGAAGCCATTCAGAATATGCTGCCTGGCGCTGAGTGTCAGCTTGAGGTGAGATGGGGGTATGACTGTGAAGGAGCTCCATCCATACCTGCATTGCTTACAGCTCCCTCACATGTCCCGTAGAGGTGCCTGGACCGAAGTGACGTCACATTCTGGCTCCCGGCACCTCTACAGCGTGTGCAAGGGAGTTGTACAAGCAATGCATGTATGGATGGAGCTCCATCACAGCACAGCAGCCCACACTGGCCCCCAGGCTGAGGATCCACTCCAGTTCCATTAAGGTAGGGAGACTGGGAGGTCTTATAAAAGAAAAAAATATTAACTTTTTTTCCTTTTTGGTGTGTGTGTGTGAGAGATTGTGTGTGTCTGTCAGTGTTTTTGAGGGCCCGTTCACACTAGTACAGTGCGTTAATTGAACAGTCCTGTGCCATTAACGCACTGTACCACACAATCGCACCTACTATGTGTTCTGGTGCGGGAGGTGTGTTACATTGCCATTCATTTGAATATGTGGGCACCCCAAACGCAACTCCCGCCCACAGTTAAATCGCCCTCACCGGAACGTGCAGTACTGCAATGCCGTGCGTTCCATTGCAGTGCAACTTGGGTCGCGACTTAATGACCAAGGACAATTGTGGGCCCTGAGGTTACACAGGTAGAGAACCACTGGTCTAGATAGATGTGACATTTCATTTACATCTACCAACTGTAGTGGAACTGCAGTGCGGTGACTGGCGCTGACATCATGTGAGCTCCAGTGCGTTGCGGAATGCAGTTGTTTTGTATATTGTATATTATATATGCATACATCATTGCAGGACAATGCCGGTCACCACATTTGGTTAATGCTGGGACATGTCTGTAACAATGATTGCATACTGCATTTTATCTTTGCTGAACATTTTAAGCCACTCTGTTTTGTTCTTTTTCTTTTCTATAGCATAGAATGTGGAGAAAAATAAAGGACACTTAAAATAAAATGAGATACAGGGAAAAGAGACACATAGAGCTGCAGCCCACTGCGCTATTTTTCAGTGCCTCTCAGATGACAGAAATGTTGTCCTCTTAAAAGGTCGGATGCAACAGCAGAGATTATTATTGTTGATAAAGAATAGAAAATAAGTAGTGTAGGCTGGAAACCGGAAAGAATAAAAGACCATTCTCACACACACACAGCTTGAACTGGATGGACCTTGGTCTTTATTCATAGTTACATAGTTACATAGTATTTGAGGTTGAATAAAGACATTAGTCCATCATAACTTTGCATTTATCGATATTAAACCTCATCTGCCACATTAACCTTACATACTATGTTACATTCATTCTGTAGCAGAATATTGATTTCAGTATTTTTCCCCAATCATCCTCCAGGACAGCACATGAGAGTGTGGGTCCACCCAACTAAAACTGGAAACACAAGGCTCACAGACAATAGAACAAGCTCAGACTCGTTGCCTTAGCTCTTTTGTGTTTCCTCAGGCCTAGCAAGAACATTGGAACATCAATATGGCAAGGCTTTCATGCTAGAGGCAGGGGCCTCCTGGACTATGCAGTTCAGATTCTACCCCAGTGGCCCTGGCTAGCTTGAATTGGTGGTATTGGGTAGTGGATATCTCTGTTTGATGTTCTGGAAGACCTAGTGGTTTGCCTGAACAGTTCTGCAGAGCTGCCATATAGTGCAATTTCTATACGGCTGTTCAAAACGACTGGGTTGCCCTACTCTCAAATCGAGAATTAGCCTTTGGGGTGAAGTTCTTCAAAGCAGTAGTCCCATAATAATAGATCATCTCTAGCTTATCCTCTCATGAGCTGTCTTGGAAGATGATTGGGGAAACCAGTTATTAGTGATCTGGTAACTCTAGAAATGCTACAGCACAGGAGGGAATTCTCTCCCGTTATTTTAGTGGTATGGGGTTTAAACTCATTTATAGTGCGTTCTATTATAATACCGAGCCAATGAGCAATGAGGGTGTTCTTTTGTTATCAGTAAGCACTCGGTCACACCTGAACGTTTTGTAGCGCGTTCTACGCTCGACGAACGCTCTACAAAACGCTCAAAAATATAAATCCCATTGTATTCAATGGTCTCGTTCCCACCTTGGCGTATTTCCGCCCGTCCCTAACGCGCTACAAAACGGCCCACGCCTGAAAAGGTACATGTACTACTTTGGGCCGTTTTTGTTGCGCGTTTCCATTGGGATACAGCCAAGTAGCCTTCGGAAACGCGCGTTTGTCGCGCAACTTTTTTACCGCGAATCGCGCGATAGTGCGCATATGCAATACGCCTAGGTGTGAACGAGACCTAAGCATTATGATTCCTTCCTTAGGTGGGCAGAACCGCACTCTCTTATGTCTTGGGAGGTTCCTGGAAATAGTTACCAGGTAACTAACTCTGTTTTCTTGCACATTTCTTGCCTCACAGAGAAAGAGAACCGCGCACGAGCGAGCCAAAGAGTTGTACAGCTCCGGGGAGTTCTCCAGCGGCAGAAAGTGGGGGGACGATGCCCCCAGAGAGGAGCTAGACACAGAATCTGTGAACCTGATAGAGTCTGGGGCCTGCGGAGCATTCGTTCATGGTCTGGAGGACGAGATGTACGGTATGGAGAATAGGTTATAACAAGGATACAATTGTAATTCCCATAGCAACAAAGCATGAGTTAGTTTCTGTTCCTGAACCAGCAATGGGAGAATAAAGCATTCAAAGAGAACTATGGGGTCAGTGTTTTTCCCCATAGTTCTCCTAAGGGTCACGGGAGGACATAAACTAGCGTCCCCCCGTCACCCAAAGCTCAGTATATCGCGAGCAACAGTTCACGGTATACTGAGACCACCGCAGGCGGGACGGATCCTGACGTTACTGTCGAGATCCACCCAGCTGCATGAGTGACAGCTGGATCTGCCTATCTAGAGGCAGAGCCAGCTCTGCCCTCCCCCGTCCGTTCCGCCAGTCAGCGCTGGAGGAGAGAGGAGGTGGGGGATCTCTGCGGGGAGCCGTGACTGAGAGTCACCGCTCTCTGCAGGGAGATGATCGAGAAGTGAGCAAGCTCACTTCCCGATCTATTGAGCTGGCGTGACAGTTTCATTGCCACACGTCGGCTCGAACTATGAAGATGAGTGAAAATCACTCACCTCATAGTTCTCCTTTAAATCTCATTGGCTGCAGGAGACCAGATCAATTTGTCTTGGTTCCAATTTTTGAAATTGCCACTGTCATGATCGCTCCTACACATATAAAGGCCATCCCCAGGCAAAGTTAAACCCTGCTCCCATCATTTCACCAATTTATTAAAAAAAAAATATATATATATATATACACACACCATTTTTTAACTTGCCTATGTCCACCATCTCATTTTCTTTGCCGTCACCTCTTCCAGGGATAGAGTCCGGTGACCCAGCACTATAGCTTGTACCAACTGATCCCCGCATTGTGATGCCCTCGTGCAGCTGTAGTCTTTAGGCTCTAAGAGGTCCCCGTAGTTTTACATGCATTTAAATGGTATGTAACCCCGACAGCCATCTCTAAAGTACCCCCATCAGTTTATTGGAGGAGAGAGGGCTATGTTTTGTAGCCCTGCCCTAGGGTAGCAACACTGCTCCTTCATAGATACATTATGGTGAGTGTGCATTGTCACCCCTGTTACAGGAAGTGTGTCATTGGCAGGATTACCAGTACCAGTAATAAGGTAACAAAAGCATGAAAAAGGTAACTAATGCAGCCGCCACATCGGCTGGTAAGCTTCAATATGTTGCATTTTTGTTTTGGGGTTTAGATACACTTTATCTGCACCAAAAATGTAGTTCGCTAAAGAAGAGACTGTGTGCCTTCTGTAGTGCTGTGTGCCTCGGAGCACTGCAAAGACCAATGAAATCCTTTGCCTCAGACACTGACATAGGCTAATTGGCAAGATGGGAACTTGTTATCTGGTGATGGCTGCAGCATGCTGGACCACATCGTGGCTTAGTGATTAGCATTTCTGCCCTGCAGCACTCCTGGGTTTAAGTCCCGGCCAGGACACTATCTGCATGGAGTTTGCATGTTCTCCCTGTGCTTGCGTAGGTTCCCTCCGGGTACTCTGATTTCATCTCACACTCCAAAGACATGCTGGTAGGTTGATTGACTCCTGTCTAAATTTCTAAATTGGCCCTAGTATATGCATACATACATGAGCGCACATATGATGGGGACCTTTGATTGTAGATGCCTTGGGGGCGGGGATTCATGTCAATGTAAAGCTCTGTAAATTGTTGGCGTTGTATCAATGCCTGTAACAATACATTTGCACTGCAGCTCTTTATATTAAATAGCAGATGGTACAGGTGTCCCTCTAATAAAAGTATACCAGTGCCAAGAGGGTTGGACGCAGCTGGTGAACTGGCTGTGTGCACTTATGGCCAGCACCCACCACAGGAAGCGAGCGGGATTGATCATCTGTCCGATGTGATAAACACATTACAATAGAAGGATCCAATAGCTCAGTCTCAGTCAGCATTGGGGTCTCTCTTTATAGATATTCTGTTCTTTGCTGTCTCTGCAGAGGTGAGGATCGCTGCGGTGGAGGCCTTGTGTCTGCTGGCTCGTTCCTCCCCCCCGTTCGCAGAGAAATGTCTGGACTTTCTGGTGGACATGTTCAATGACGAGATAGAAGAAGTGCGGCTGCAGTCCATCCACACCATGCGAAAGATCTCCGAAAACATTACCCTCCGGGAGGACCAACTGGACACAATCCTGGCCGTACTGGAGGTGAGAGTACAGAGAAGGGAGGGGCAGACAGCTGTCGTTCAGTTCGTGAAGAAGTACAACTCCCAGCATGCTCTTTCCAGGCTGGTGTGTCATGTATAAACAATATAACATTGAGCTTCTCTTATTTGCTCCCTTGTGGTCTGTTATATACCATTGGACGTGTTTTTGTTATATCAATTCAATAAGTGCAAAACCCCCTGATAGAAATCTAGCGCTGTCCCTTACACTCTGCAGTGTAAACTCAAATGTTTGACAGCGTGTAAGGGCTACAGATAGGGATGCACCGATACCGGTTTTTCAGTATTGAGTGCGAGTACTGATATTTATCTTTCGGTACTTGCGGATACCGAGTACTGATACCGGTACTTCCGCTAGCATGGAGCCAGCTTCACGGACAATCAGGAAAGCGGGGCGGTGTGTCATTACCCGCTGCCCGGCTTCTTGATTGCCCAGGAAGCCGGCTCGATGTTGATCGGCTGGGAAGCCAGCTTCCCAGCCAATCAACATCGAGAGGGCCAACCGGGAGGCGGGTTATAATCCACTTCACAGTGAATCAGGAAGCAGGTCATTACCCGCCGCCCAGCTTCCTGATTGGCCTGGAAGCCGGCTCCATGCGACCAATTAGCATAAAGCCGGCTTCCCAGCCAATCAGGAGGCCGGGCGGCGAGTCATTACCCGCCTCCCGGCTTTCAGATTGGCCGGGAAGCCGGCTCCATGTTCCCTCGCGGCACTGCCGTTCAGGAAAAAAATCTCCCTCTGACCGGAAGTTCCGGTATCGGAGCATTTGGGCGAGTACTAGTACTCGCCCAAATACTTGGTATCGGCACCGATACTAGTATCGGTGCATCCCTAGCTGCAGAACACCTCCCACCTACGTTATGGAGAAGGGAGAGTGGTGTTCTGTTGTCCTAACACACTTCCTGTTCTAAGGTGACAGCACTGCTCCTCCATAGACACTGTACAGTGAGTGAGCATTGTCACCCTTGGACAGGAAGTGGGGGATCATCAGGTGAAAGAAAAGCCTGATAAAAGAAAACTATTGCAGCCACCACATTTTAGAACTGGGAAGCTGCAATATATAACTTTTTTTTTTCTTTTCTTTTTAAAAATTAATCCATTGGGCAAAAAAAAAAAATAATATATGCAAATGTGGTCGAGATAAATGTTCTGACCAACCCGACATGCCTCCCTTTTTCTTGTAGGACTCTTCCCGTGACATTCGGGAGGCTTTGCACGAACTGCTGTGCTGCACCAATGTGTCAACTAAAGAATGCATTAACATGGCCCTGGTGGAGCTTCTCAAGAACATGTCCAGATACCCCACCGACCGCGACTCCATCTGGAAGTAACTATCCTACAATAAGCTGAATCCCTAAAACAATTAGTTTACTTGGGTGTATAAAAACATGTTTACTATCGCTTTTTGCATTTCCTGTTTTGCAGATGTTTGAGGTTCCTCGGCTGCAGACACCCCACGCTGGTCCTGTCACTGGTCCCTGATCTCCTGGGTACCCACCCTTTCTTTGACGTGCCGGAGCCCGATATGGACAATCCATCCTGTATCCTTTTTCTGTGCTACATTGATCAGAGTGTTGCGTTGTTGTTTTTTTTAAATTCAAAACATCTTTATTGAAACGTAGAAAACATACAAAATCAGTGCAAAGTGTGTCACAAAGTGCGGTAGAGCAGTAACTAAAACATGACAAGTACATCGTAAACTGAACGTAACTACAGATGGACATGGGCCAGGCGTCAACACCGCAGAATGTTGGTTTTTAAATGAACAAATTTCTGTCAATAGCCAAATATTAGCAGGATTCTCAAATGAAACAAAACCTCACGTGATTGCTACAATTTAAAACCAATCAATAAAACAATTCTGCAAATTGCTATCAAATCAAAAATCGCCTCCATTCTGTAAACGTCCTTTAAAGTGCCGTTATGGTCACATGGACGTTTTATCCATTATACAGAAAGCTACACTATTAGTTCATGTTCAGCATAGAAGTCCCATCTAGGTACAATAATACGAGATGAGTTTTGGTTTTAGTTCCCTGCACTGTGTTGGTTTGTATTTGGAGCTGATGTAAGGAGTGTTAGTAGCCATCATATCCTCTTGGGTGATCCGGGATCCGTCTGTCGGTCCACTGCTGAGCTGAGCCAGCCTGTGCGGCACATCCTCCTCCATAGACAAGTGCCTTTCAGGTTGCGTTCCCTGTGTGCATGGAATACTAGTCCCATCTCTCAGCAATAAAGCCGAACCCAATAAAATAATCCATCCACAGTCAATATTTTTGCATAATGTATGCGTATATGCTGGGACTGAAGACTAGAGCTAGAGGAATGGGAGAAGAATTTTACGAATGTGAACCATTATGGATGTGTACGTGTCTAATTATTACAATCGTGTGCACGAACCATTAAAAGGATAGGGGGGAATGAAAGTAAAGCTATGGAAAGAATGGTGGGTGCCATTACTGATTTTGCTACTGGCCAGCTTGTATTGTTACCCACTAGATTGAGTAATTTCTGGGTTGCTGACCCAGAACAAGTTAAACGTCCTTTATTTATTTTTTTCCATTTAAATTTTTGTTTTATTGAACATAAGAAAAGTGAAAGGCATACAGTGTGATCATACATATCACATCATCCAAGCGGAATGCCGCATAACTCTCAATCGGGTATTGACAGGTCGTGTTGTTGGCAGGTCTCGCATAATACAGCAATAGGTCAATACTGAGAGGTTAACATGCGTATTACAGATAACGTTGGAATGGGCATGCAGTTCGGTGACCTAAACCCAAGAGGCTAAAAGTTTGGTATCTGGTAACGGTAAGATCATCAAGTAAACAAAGACAGGCAGCAGGACAACACAAACATAGAGGGACGAGAATCATAGAGTTGTAGAGGTAGTGAAGACGTGCATTAGAAAGCATAGAGTCCTCCATGGTAAACCCACTGAGGACTCCAGGGTAGGTCAGAGGGTAGGGTGATATAGGGGAAGGGGGATCCCTTGGGGCTCATTCCCATGAGGCGTACTTTCCTTCACCCTATAAAGGGGTCACAGAGGATCGGTAGGCAACAGGCGTGTGTTCTAGTCATTTACGCGAGGTCATGCGTGAGTTCTGCATATATCTTTCCCAGGCAGAAGTGGGTCCATGGCGCCCACAATTTGGAGAATTTGGTAAGTTTGTCTTACTTGATAAAAAAAGAGTTCTTCCATTTCAGAAATATAATTTACCTGATGAATCCATTCGGTGAGAGATGGGGACCTCACATCTCTCAAGTCTGGGTATCAATGATCTAGCTGCATTAATCAGATGCTTGCTGATAGATTTTTGAGGTCCCCGCTATCATCCTCCTGGATATGTAGTAGGTAGACACTTGTTGAAAAGCCAGCTGTTCCCCCGTAATTTGACAGATAAGATCGTGGACCCGTCTCCAAAAGGCTTAGAGAAGAACACGCCCAAAAGATGTGGAGAAGTGTACCTCGTGCCGAGGTGCATCTCCAGCCGGGCTCTGGTATTGCAGGGTCAATTTTATGGAGCAGTGCTGGGGTTCTGTACCTGGGATTCTGTACCTGGAGTTCTGTACCTGGAGTTCTGTACCTGGGATTCTGTACCTGGAGTTCTGTACCTGGGATTCTGTACCAGCACGAGAGGATTTTGAAATTGGTTTCTTGGGTCCTGCTACTCATTGAGCTCTTGTGGGCCCCAACACACGCTGTTTCCCACATATCCTCCGGGATGTCTAGGTCTAGCTCCCTCTCCCAGGCAATTCTCAAGGTGGCGGTTCGAGCGGGTTTGGCGGGACGCACTAAGCTATAAATCCATGATATGAGGTGTCGAGAGGGGCCTTTGCCAGAGCACGCCCTCTCAAAGCTGGACATGTCTCTTGCAAAGCTTCCTCGTTTTGCTGGGTAAGTGAGGTAGTGTCTCACCTGCAAATAAATCCACCAAGGAAGCTGTCCCCTCTTAGAGCAAGGAGCTAGGTCCTCATCAGACGTCCTTTTATGTGCATGATTGTTCCATTGTGCATGTGCATTGAAACCAGAGAGATTGAATGGTAGCCCAGCAAATGGGAGGAGGCATCAGTAGCGGAAGGCTCTGTGTTTCCCTCAGCACAGGTTTCCTTTAAAGGAGAACTATGAGGCGAGTGCTTTTCACTCACCTCATAGTTCTAGCCGACCTGTGACAATGACACTGTCACAGGTCGGCTCAGTAGATCGGGAGGTGAGCGAACACATACCGGCGTTCACTCACTTCTCGATCCTGTCACAGCTCTCTGCCGTGACAGGGGAGGGGCTGCATTCCCCCTCTCCCCGCTCCGATCCTCCAGCGCTGACTGGCGGAACGGACGGGGGAGGGGGCGGGTACAGCTGGCTCTGCCTCTAGATAGGCAGAGACCGCTGTCACTCACGCAGCTGGGCGGATCCAGACATAATTGTCAGGATCCGCTTCAGCAGCGGCGTCTCAGTGTACCGCGAGCAGCAGCTCGCAGTATACTGCAGCGTCTCAGTATACCGCAAGCTATAGCTCACGGTATCCTGAGCCTAGGGTGAAGGGAGGACGCTAGTTTGTGTCCTCCCATTACCCTAAGGAGAACTATGGGGAAAAGCCCTAACCCCATAGTTCTCCTTTTAATGTTACATTGCTGTAGAAAATCTGTTCACTAGAAGTCTCTTACACTTCTGAACCTCTGAAGTCAATGATAAAGTTTATCATTTGTTTTGATCATCTTCTGTATAATACACGATATTGTAAAGTCTTTAACTCTCCTCACTAGATATCGCTCTTCTGGTTTTGATATTTAATGCTGCAAAAACCTGCCCCACCATGCCAGCCCTGTTCTCTGACCACATGTTCCGCCACTACGCCTACCTGCGGGACAGTCTGTCGCACCTGGTCCCTGCACTCAACGTAAGTCCTGGTGTTGGTATCACTTCTCTGGTCATCGGCATCTGTCCAAGCTGGCCATAAGGGATATCATACATCGGGGCCCAACCTGCAGCCTGTTTGGCTGGCTGTTCTAAAGAGAACTGGAGTAAGCTGTGCCCAAAGCAAAATGGAATGGTCACCAGTATTGCCTATAGTCTCTCCGCAGCTGACCGTGCATGTAGCCCATGCACACAATGCAGTTTCAGTGCCATGCAGTATCATCCTTCGGGGAGCTTTCTTCCACCACCATCTTTTAACTAGCATGTTTCTTCATTTCCAAATAACTGTGCCAAAAAATGAGATCACCTTGGGGTGATACAAAAAGGGGTTATTAAATACCATTTGGTTAAAATGCAGGGAGGGATTGTAGCCGCTGTAAAATAAAGCCGGGAGGAGGGGCAGGGGAAGGGCTTGGGATGCAGAGAGGGGTGGGAGCTGCTTTCAATCAAAGCCTGGAGGAGGGGCAAGGGAAGGGCTTGGAATGCAGGGAGGTGCTGTAGTAGCTGCTGTCAATCAAAGCCTGAAAGAGGGGCAGGGCTTGGAATGCAGGGAGGTGCTGTAGTAGCTGCTGTCAATCAAAGCCTGGAGGAGGGGCAGGGGAAGGGCTTGGAATGCAGAGAGGGGTGTGAGTTGCTTTCAATCAAAGCCTGGAGGAGGGGCAGGGGAAGGGCTTGGAATGCAGGGAGGGGCTGTAGTAGCTTCTGTCAATCAAAGCCTGAAAGAGGGGCAGAGCAGGGCTTGGAATGCAGGGAGGTGCTGTAGTAGCTGCTGTCAATCAAAGCCTGGAGGAGGGGCAGGGGAAGGGCTTGGAATGCAGGGAGGTGCAGTAGCTGCTGTCATTCAAAGCCTAGAGGAGGAGCAGGGGAGTAGCTGGCTATGCAGGGAGGCACTGTAGCAGCTGTTAATCAGTGCCTTGTGGAGGGGAGGGGAGTGGTTTGGAGTGCTGCACTTGGGAGCATACACGCTGGGGACCCTGCAAGGCAGAGTAGCCATCCTATAGCAGCAAATGTTACACCAAAAGGGGACAGTAACCTAGGAAGTAAATGAGGTACGCTGCTAGATATAGATTTTATTTTTTATCCCAAGGGATGACACTTTAATTCATACACGTTTCTTTGCCTTAGCTGCCTGGAGTGAAGTGGTCTTGGATTCCAGATGTGGAGCCTGGCTCCACCCATGAGGATCCATCTCAGCAATTTCTACAGAACAGTCTGGAGCATGTTCATAACTTGCAGAATCTGGGGACCCAGGGGTCACAGGAGCTCCTGGAATATACTATCCGGTAGGTGGTGCCGCCCCTTCAACTCGCTTCATGGACTCCTTGTCTTGGTCTTGGACATATCTTGTCAATTGCCAATGTTCAAACATCCTGTATACACTATTGGACCAGATTGGTCAGATGTCAAATAGTCTGCTAGTATGTGTCTTAGTTGTATCCATGAAGTGGACATACTAGCTCCATTCAGACAGTGTCTGTGCTGGGACATGAACCCAGGACCCGCAGCTACAAGGAGAATACAAACCATGTAACCGTTATATCCTTCATTGATGGTACTGCAGAAGAGTGTTTGTAGTGAGTATTACAGGTATCAAATCTTTTTTTTTTCTCCCCCCCCCCACA